TCACTGTATCCAGGAGGAAAATAATTTGGAGACCGTCTGGAGCAATCTACTACTATAATAGTCTTTTCCAAAGGTGCCCTTTCTGAGGGACAAAAAGGAGTAAAGAGGAGGATTCATTTGCCAACCTAGAATATAAATATATTGCCCAGAGAAGCTGTGGCTGCCCCATCCTTGGAAGTGTTCAAGGTCAGGTGGGACAGTGCTTGGAGCAACCTGGGATAGTGGAAGGGGGTAGAATGGGAAGACCTTTAAGGTCCCTCCAACCCAAACCATTCCATGATTCTGTGACTGTGTAAAGACAAGTCTAACTGAATACTTCTAAAAAGAGATGCACTGTTACATTTTTCTCACTCTCCATAAATAAATCAGGCAAAAAGCATTTAAAAGAAAACCCAAATAAGAGCAACAACAGGAAAAACAACGCCCTGAGCTTTTCTGGCAGCCAAGTACGAGGGTTGGTTAGGTTGGGGAAGAGTGAATTCATGACGGGAGGGAAATGGGGGAGGAAATCAAGAGATGTGAGAAGACAACACTCAGGAGGCTGTTCTGGAGTTTCAGCACAGGTCTGGTGGTGCCCCAATTGTCACCTGCACTGATACAAACCAGTGCACTTCTCTACAGCCCCAACATGGTGGTGGCCACCCCAGGGATGTGCCATGGGACGAACAGACACACATTCAGGGGCAGCAAATGGAGCTACCCAGTAAGAGCAGGGGAGAGAAAGCATCCTGAGAAACTTCAGGGAAAGGCAGAACCTCCACAGGAATGTGTCTGCCAGCCAGTGGAGCAAGTGACAGCTGGCACTGGGCACCAAAGGTCTATTTTTACCCAGGAAATACATTCAGCACCATCCGTCACCAGTGCCCTGCCAGCACAGCCTGGCCCAGCACTGCAGGATCCCTCTCTGTCTCAGGGAGAGGCGACAAACCTGGGGGTCAACACCAGTGTTCTGGGACACGAGACTCCCACCAGCAGGGCCCTGACCCCACTCCCTTTGTGGGGACCACACCAGTACCTGCTTTAGGGTGTCGAGAGGCTGCTGAGCAAGAGGCTTCTCCAGGACCCTATTCTGGGGAAGGAAGAGGTGCCTGTGGGGACTGCTCCCAGCAGTTCCCACCTCTGGGGATGTGCCTGAGGGCTGCTCACAGCTGCACCCTCCAACTTCCTTGGGGGAAGATGGGGGGTTGTTTTTGGGGGGGCTCCCCACTGCAGTGACACACACCCCCCTCCCCTTTATGGGGGGGGTGTCTACGGTGCTCCCCGAAGCGGGACCCTCCCCTCTCCTTTATGGGGGTGTCTAAGGTTCTCCCCAAAGCAAGGACCCCCACGCCCTTCATGAGGGGTGCCTGGGGGGACTCCTCAAAGTAGGAACCCCCCGTGCCCTTCACGAGGCGTTTCTGAGGGTCTCCCTAAAACAAGGCCCCCCCATCCCCTTCATGAGGGGTGTCTGAGAGGCTTTCCCAGCAGTGCCCCCCTCCCCTTCGCAGAGGGAGCCCCAGGCGCTCCCCAGCGGGATCCCCGGGCCCGTAGCCCCCTCCCCACCTGGATATGCCGGCACGCCGCCTCGGCCCGTCGCTGCTCCTCCAGGCGCGGCTCCACCAGCCCCAGCGCCATGGCCAGCGCCAGGCAGGCCCCGCCGGGCCCCCGCCGCGCCACGGCCGCCAGCCCGACCGCAGGGCCGCGCAGGAGGAGGCGGCCGGCGGCCGGCAGCCAGGACAGCCACGGCCGCCATGGCGAGGCCGGCGGGGCGGCGCGGAGGCCGGTGCAGGGGTCGGCGCGGGGGTCGGTGCGGAGGTCGGCGCGGGGGTGGACGCGGGGGGCGCAGGGCGGGCGGCACCGCGGCAGCAGCCGCAGGGCCCGGGCCAGGAGCAGCCGGACCGCCATGGCTGCCTGAGGGGGGAGAGGGGCGGGGACGGGGGGCGGGGACAGGGGAAGCGGGGCCAATGGGGAGGGAGGGTGCGCACTGAGGCCACGCCCACGGGCAGTGCGAGGCCACGCCCACAGAGGGCACGGGACAGGGACGGGAGGGGAAGGGAAGGGGGAATGGAGAGGGGAAGGGAATGGGGCAAGGAATGAGGCATGAAGTGAGACGTAGTGGAGTATGCAATGGGGCATGGAATGGGACAGGGACTGGGCATGGAATGGGGTATGGAACGGGACAAGGACTGGGGCAGGGAATGAGGCACAAAATAGGGCATGGAATAGGACAAGGAATGTGACGTGGAATGGGACACGGAATGGGGAAGGGAATGGGGTATGGAGTGAGGCATGGAATAGAGTATGGAGCAGGAGGGCATGAAACGGGACATGGAGTGGGGCATGGAATGGGGCATGAAGTGGAGTATGGGGCAGGGCATGGAGCAGGGCAGGGAGCAGGACATGGAGCAGGGCAGGGAGCAGGGCATGGAGCAGGGCATGGAGCAGGGCAGGGAGCAGGGCATGGAGCAGGGCATGGAGCAGGGCAGGGAGCAGGGCACAGCTGGGTGTGCCTTGTGCTTAGCAGGGCATGGAGCGGGGCACAGCACTGATCTGGGCACAGACCTTAAAGCCAATCTCATCCCACCCCTTGACATGGGCATGGACACCTTCCACCAGCCCAGGTTGCTCCAGGCCCCGTCCAACCTGGCCTTGGACACTTCCAGGGATCCAGGAGCAGCCACAGCTTCTCTGGGCAACCTGTGCCAGGGCCTCCCCACCCTCACTATAAAAAGCTTCTTCCTCACATCTAAATCAACCTTCTTTTAATTTAAAACCACTATCCCTCAAAAGGACCTGCTAAAATCTCTGCCCTCGTCTTTATTATATTTTTATTATAAGTCCCCTTTAAGGCACATGAAGAGGCTCTAAGGTTGAACCTCATGATGTTCCCATGTCACATCCACCACCCCCTGATCCTGCCTGGCAGCAGGACAGCCCAGGGACCCCATTCCCTGTGTTTCATCACTTGCTACAACTGCAGGAGATAAACCAGAACGGCCTTTATTTGACTTGGGCATGGGCTGAAACGCCCAACCCAGCGTTGGTTGGGAAATATCACACATTCATTTGTCATTGTGCGTAATTAAATCAATAGTACAATCAGCAAATGGCACCACTCTGGAGGCACAAAACCCTGCAGAAGCAATCAAAAATTCCTCATTCTCTTCTCCCCCCATAAATGGAATAAAAGCAAGGAAAACAAGCTGGAGAGAAACGAGCAAAGGACATGCTCAGTGCAATAACCATCCCATTCCAGCAATCCACCCAATCTGGACTGGCTCATTAATTACTGCTGGGGCTGATGGACCTTTTCCTTTTGGCTTTCACGTCTCTTCAGAGCTGGAGAGTCCAGAATTTTCCCAAACAATGATTTTGCATTGTTTAGGAGTTGTTTCTGTATCAACAAGCCCGAACTTGAGCCATGCATCAAACTCGACTCCTTCCTTGCCTATAGGGATATCTGGACGTTTTTCTTACTAATAACAGGGAACTTCTATGATTTGATTTTGTTGTTTCCTCAGGGAGAGGTGGAGCCGGTGTCTGAAAATCAGCGCTGAATCAGGAGGTGAGAGGAACAGGTAACTCAACACTAGAAATGCATTTCCCCATTGTGTCGTCCCCCAAAAGCTGCTTACACGCCGAGGAAATTGGGGAAAACCATCCTCCTCTGCTGCCCCAGGGGCAAAGGCTGGTGGTGGCCACGCTGCTCACACCTTCTTCAGGTCCTCAGGGCCAAAGGAGAGCGGTAGCAGCTCCTCCAGCCTCTTGACAATGTAGGAGCCATCTGCTTTGGTCAGGTAGACATCCCAGTCCGTGCCAAACTGGAGGAGAAGAGCAGGGAGAAGAGCCTGATGAGGGAGAAGAAGGAGAACGGAGAAGAACCTGCACTTCTCTCCAAAATTACTCCTATAATCCTTTTTTTCTACTTTCAGAGGAAGCATCACCATCTATTGCACGGATTTGAGATTGGCTTATTGTCATCACCCCCCCCCCCCCCCGAGGATATTTTGGGCTCAGATCTTGTGTTTTTACCCCCCAGGGTGAGCCCCGGGGCTTCCAAACTTCCTGAATCCCTCCCTCGAGCCGAGCCCCACAACCCATTAAATATTAACCACCCAAAACCGGGCTGTGGGTGCTGGGGTGCCTGTGGGGAGGAGGGAGGTGAGAGAGGGATGGGATCTGCGAGAAGCTCAGCTTTTCCCAGGAAAACCCCTGTTTTCTGGCTTGCCAGAAGTGGAGCAATGACTCCAGGGCCTGGAGGAACAAAACCCCCCAGGGAGGGCGAGCTAATGGATTCCCACCAAGCACCCACTCACATGGAACAGGGAGGAATATCCCTTTCCCAGTGGATGATGCAATTTGAGGAGCCAGCCCTGGGGCTGGGGATAGGGGGTTGCACCCCACTTGGCACCTCTGGGTGTTTTAGGGGGAGATGCCTGGGGTCAGGGGATGATGTCTGGGGTCAGGGGATCATGTCTGGGGTCAGGGGATCATGTCTGGGGTCAGGGGGTGAGACACGAAGCCCCCACAGGAGCCATCACCTCTCTCATCACTTGTCTGCAGGCGCCACAGGGTGTGATGAAGTCCCCCATGTCACTGCCAAAGGAGAAGGGCACAGAGCTCAGTCCTGAGGTCAGAGGAAGGGGGAACACCTGCAGAAGACCTTCATGTACCAATTAATACGGAGCCACAGCAGATTCCCCCCTAATTTCTCAAAAAAAAAAACCCAAACAAAAACTTTCTCCCCCAAACCCTGGGGCTGCTGCAGCAGAATCTGCCTGTGGGGTGCACTGGAGGATTTCCTGCTGTCCCCCCATCCCATCCTTCCCTGTTCCAGCTCTTGCAGCACCCTTACCTGGCGATGGCCATGGCCTTGAAGCTGGTGTGCCCCTCGGAGATGGCTTTTTGGATGGCAGCTCGCTCAGCGCACATCCCCAGGCTGTAGCAGGCGTTTTCCACGTTGCACCCTGTGGGGAAAACCCCCCAGCCACCCCACACCCCAACGGGAAAGATTTTCTTAATTGTGGTTTGTGGAGTTTTTTCTGGGGGTTTTTTGGTGGTTTTTTTTTTTTTTTTTTTTTTTTTTTTTTTTTTTTTTTTTTTTTTTTTTTTTTTTTTTTTTTTTTTTTTTAAGGGGAATTTGCAAAGAAAAGCCTTTTTCCCTGCTTCCCTTATTTTATTTCCTGTACTCTCCCATCCGCCGAGATCTTTGGCTCGCTCCGTCCGGGCTGCCGGGGCTGCCAAAGAGGCAGCGGAGGGGAAGGACACACAACACCAACACTCCGGGGTGACCCCGCTACACCCCCGCGCACTCCCACAGGGTCGCTGGGGGCTCCCCAGAATTCCAGAGCGGGGTCTCGGGGCCTCGACTTACCGGAGAAGATCTCCCCACCAGCCGTGAGCAGCGCGGCTCCCACCGGGAAGCGGCTGTAGGGGCAGTAGGCGCAGTTTTTGGCCTCCCGGCTGCGGCGCAGCAGGAGTTGCAGATGGTCCCCCTGGGGCTGGCCCGAGGGCACGGCCGGGGCTGGGCTCTGCCCGCCACCCTCCATGCCTGCACCCGCCTGCCCTGCCCGCTGACGCCGCGGTTAAATATTTCCTCGCCTGGAAAAATAGGCTGGCCGGGACTCCGGGATAACGCCCCGGCGCGCAGCCGAACCCCAGGAAGCATCCCTAGGGACAGCCCTGGCTCCCAAAGCATCACGCTCGGCATCCTCTCCCTGCCTGCTGCCTCATTTTTTTTCCAGTTTATCCTGGGTTTTGTTCTCTACTTCCTCCTTTCCTCTGTCCCGGCATTTTTCCGCTGCTGTCTCTCAGGTTTTTTTTTTTTTTTCCTTCCCAGTTCAAAACTGGTTCTGTGTCTCCAGATCACTGAGATCAAAAGAAATAAATTAGTCTGATTGAAAACATTAAAAATAATATCTATATGTATCACATTTTCCCTTTTAACTACAGGCAGCAGGGAAATCTGGGTGAAGACACGAGTGGTAAAAGCCCTTTTTGGGATGCCCTCATGCTGGAGCCCAAATTTGGATCTGCTGGAGCTTCCATGGGAATCACCTCCGGCAGGGTAAAAGGGCTCCTGGGTGATCAGCAAATTGCTTTTTAATTAAAGATTTCTCTATTTTCCCCCTGGCCCGAGGAGCTTCCTGCCCCACTTTCTATCTGCAAGGACGGGTGTCACAGCCCCCAGGGATGTATCACTGGGATTTTTGTCCGGTTTGCTGGATTTGGGGAGGATTTTGATCTCACCAGCAAATCTTGGTCCTGGGTCACTGCTGAGAAGCGGCATCCAAATTGGCAGCGGCTTCTGCTGGCATAGAAACTCTGGGAGCTGAGAAGGGAGCATGGGGCAGTGAGACCACCACAGGCACCCCAAGAAACCAAAGCTGGGATCCGTATTATCCAGAAAATGACCAGGAAACCCACTTTCCTTGCACTGTGTGGGTGCTTGTTCGCTCTGGAACCTAACAATGACAGCCGGGTGCTTGCAAGGGCAGTCAGTCGAGGCAACAGGCAGTGAGAGGAGGGATTGACAGCCCTGAATCCTTTTTTTTTTTCAGCTTTCAAAGTGCAAATCCAGGTTGTTTTCCCCTATAAAATGAGCCAGAGATTCTTCTATGCCCCCACTCCAATCCCCATTACCCCAAAAACTGGGAGGAAAAAGGAAAACCAGTCCCAGAGCAGCTGAGGGGAGACACTGTGGGAGCAGATCAGAGCAGGGGGACCCCTCACTAAATGATGTGGGTTGTAAAAATAAAGGAGCTTTCAGGAAGGGTTTAAACCTGCCCTGTCAATATGAACACTGAGCAACTAAAGAGTCCTTACCTCTGCCAGGGAGGGTGACAGCAGAAGTAACGAGGGACAGAGGCTGGTATGGATGGAAACCTTGCTCATTTGCACTATTTCCCTACCTGACACCTCCCCAAAACCATCCTTGCACCAGGATCAAACCACACACACCTCATGTTTGCAGCAGAAAAGCCGAAAAACAGACAAATTCATGCATTTTTTATTATTTTGGCTGCGAAAACCTCCGAGGCTGTCGAGGCCGCGGCAGTGAGAGGAGCGGGGTTGGTGCTGTCTGCCTGTGAAGCAGCTATTTTAAGGTTGTGTTTGCTTCACTCAAACCGTAGAAAATCTGGGAAGCTGCTGGGAAATGGCTTCCTGCTCCCTGCAGCACCCTGCTCGGGTTTACCTCCCCACATTGGCTAAAAGTGGGGGTATGCAGTGTGATTTCTCCTCCTTTCTCCTCCCTGTTTTTCCATCCTAAAGCAGCTGGAGCATCCCCAACCTGGGGGGGTGGGGGTCTCCCTGCTGCATCTACAAGAAGCCCCAGATGGGAAAAAAAAAAAAAAAAAAAAAGGTGGAAATCAGGGTTTGAGCCAAAGCAGCTGAAGACTCTGGTGCAGGGCTGAAATCTCACAGTGCTCCCCAAAAATCTCCCTCAGGCTGCACCCTGGGGAAATAACATTTCACATTCCCTGGAGAGAAGTTGTCCTGGGGCCTTGGCCAGGGATGAAAGCAACAGGTTAAAAGCCAGATCAGCCCAAAAGGAAGAGGAGCAGCAAGGAGGTCTGGCTGGCTCGGGAAAACCAGGTAAAAAGCAGGGGGGGACAAGGGGGTTGGAGGTAAAAAATGCCAGCAAATCTGCAGAATCCTGGAGGGCAAAAAGTCCATTTTATCATGCCAGAGTCAGAAACCATCATCTGACCCTCCCGAAAATCATCCTCCCCGGGATTAGAAAATAGGGAATTTCGGCGTTCGGGAGGGTCTGGCTGCTTGCACGAGGACAGGGTGTTGTTTTACCCCCACCCCTGTATCCCCGCCGGAGCAGGGAGCGAGCGCGCATCCGAGGAGCCGGTGGGGGACGTTCACCGGCGGCTCCCCGCGTGCTCGGGGAGGTGGAGCAGCCCACGGAGAGCCGCGTCCCCGCAGCCGCCGCCGCTCCCGCAGCAGCATCAGGCGCAGGCGGCAGCCGGAGCGCGGCGGCTCCTCGGCCGAGCATCCATCCCCGCATCCTCCCTGGACCGCACGCCATCGGGGGGCACGGCAAGCTGCATTCCGGGGTAGGGGCTTCAGCCTCTGGGCGGGGGGTGTGCGTGGGGACACCCCTCATCCAGATTTTGAGGGGTTGGGGGTGGCGGGGTGGGGGGAGGAGAGGGCTGTTTCTGCTCCGGGATTAGCCGAGCCGTGAGAGGCCGGAGCGGAGATGCTGCCGTGGCGCCGGAGCAAGTTCGTGCTGGTGGAAAATGAACGTAAGTGCAAAGGCAAGAGCCTGGGGCCGGGGCTGAGCTACGCGGCGCTGCTGGCCGGGTTCCTGCGCTCCTGCCCGGACCTGCTGCCCGAGTGCCCCTTGGAGCGGCTGGGCAGCGTCTTCCGCGGGAAGCGCCAGAAAGTGGAGCTCAACAAGGAGGACCCCACGTACACGGTGCGATACCTGGGCAACGCCGTGACCCTGCACGCCAAGGGCGAGGGCTGCACCGAGGAGGCGGTGGGCAAGATCTGGGCCAAGAGCGAGGCGGGCGCCGGCGGGGCCAAGATGAAGCTGACGCTGGGGCCGCAGGGCATCCGGATGACCCCCAGCGAGAAGGGGGCGCGGCGGCCGGGCCACGCGTACCTGCTGCACCGCATCACCTACTGCGCCGCCGACCGCCGGCACCCCAAGGTGTTCGCCTGGGTGTACCGGCACCAGGTGAAGAACAAGGCCGTGGTGCTGCGCTGCCACGCCGTGCTGGTCTCCAAGGCCGACAAGGCCCGCGCCATGGCCCTGCTGCTCTACCAGACCTCGGCCTCGGCCTTCAACGAGTTCAAGCGGCTCAAGAGGCAGAGCGACTGCCGCCACGTGCAGCAGCAGCTCCTGGGCGACGCCATCGTGCCCTTGGTGCCCCTGCGGCGGCTGCTCAACGCCAAGTGCCCCTACCGCCCGCCCGCCGAGAGGGCCCGCTGCGCCCCGCGCCTCAGCTCCATCCTGGAGGAGGACGAGGACGAGGCCTTCGGCCCCAGCGCGGCTCTGGGGGACCCCGGCAGAGCCGCCGTGCTGCGGCTGGCCAGCGACATGAGGGGCTGCAGCCTGCGCGGCCCCCGGCACCCGCTGTGCTGAGATCCCCCCCACTCAGGGGTCGGGCGCCATCCCCGCGCCCCCCAACCGGTGTTGGGACGCTCCTCGGGGGGTGAACCCGGACAAGACGGCGGCTCCCCGTACGAGGAAGACTCGCTGTGGGTTTGCAACCCCCTCAGCCCCGCACATGAACCTGTGCTCTCGTGCCTCCTCCTCTGCAGCGGCCATAATAATAACAATTATTATTATTATTATAATAAAATTAATGTGTGTTTTCTGCGGTGTGACGGCGCCTGTGTCTCGCCCGGACGCTGGAGAATGGCAGAGGGAGAGTTAAGCTCGGCACTGAGGCGATTTTGGGGGGGTTTATACCGAATTTACCCCTCCAAAAAGGAAGCCAAGGAGGGGCTTTCCGCACCCTCCCTGCGGCACAGAGGGCTGGGGAGAGCTGCTCTGTGTAACCATGGCAACTCGAGTTTTTAAATATAGAGCTGGGGGGGCGGCTGTGCCGCCTGCGTCAGGGAAATGAGAGGGGGGTTTAGCCCCTTGGACACCCACTGGAGAGCAGGTCCTTGGCTGCAGCACCCCTGTGCCCACCCCACAATCAGCACCGAGGCTCTGAAGACCAACCGTTCACCAGAAATTACTATTTTTTTTTCTTTTTCTTTCCCTTTCGCTGCTCTCTCAGAATAAGCAATGGCAAAGAAATAGGTGGGGTGGGGAAGGGTCTTGTCTGCCCCTGTCCCTGCCACCCTGACGTGGGGCCCTGCATGGGGTGGGGGAGAAGGACCCTGCAAAATGAGGCTGGGGGTGTGTCCTGAGGCTGAGCCCTCACACTGGGGGAGTCCACGAGGTGCTGGTGCCCCACAGCCCAGTGATGGGGTGTAACCCCCTTCAAGGTGCTATAGGGCTGGAATTTGGGGGCATACCCCCCTCCCAGCCCAGGGGGGACACCCTTCGGTCTGACCCACCCCAAGTTTTGTAGAGGGGTGAGATTTGGTCTGCCCATCACCACCCAAGCACTGTCAGGGGGTACTGGGGACGGTCCCCCCAGCATCCTGGGGGTGTCATGATTTGGGGCCAGCTACCAGGATCCTAAGGGATGACTGGCATTTGGGCTAATCCCCCCCTTAGGACTGTGGGGCTGGGGGTTGATGTCCCCCCAAGACCCCCGGGGTGGGATGGGGAAGCACTGCGGATTCTCCCCTCAGCACCCTGGGGGTGTCAGGATTTGGGTCCAGCTATCAAGGTCCTAAATGACGGCTGACATTTGGAATAATCCCTTTTCGGGATGTTGTGGGCTGGAGCTTGATGTGCCCCCCCCCCAATAAAAACCCTGGGGTGGGGGGTGGGACATATACCGACCCCTCAAAGCCTTAATCCTCAAGGGGTTTAGCCCCCTAAAGCCGCATGGGGCCAGGACCTGACCCGCCTCCCCCACATATACCCTGTGTGTGTGTGTGTGTGTGGGTGTATTTTGTGCTCCCCTGTCCCCCCAAAAAAGCTTTGGGGGCTCCCCGCGCCCCCCGCCCGCCCTTGGCGGACCGCTCGTCTCTATGGCGGCGCCTCCACTGCCAGAGCGCCGCTCGTGACGTCATCACCGCGCGCCGGCGGTTGCCGTGGTAACGCGGGGCCCGGCGGCCATGGAGGGCAGCGGGCGGCCCTCGGCCGCGCAGGCCGCGCTGCTGGCCGCCAGTACCGCCATCACCGCCCTGTTCTACTCCGTGTACCGGCAGAAGGCCCGCGTGGCCCGCGGGCTCGAGGTGGGTGCGAGGAGTGCGGCGGGGGAGCGCACGGGCCCGGCCCGTAGGCCGCGGCCTGGTCGCACCGGCTGAGCCGCGGCCTCTGTTTGCTCCCCACAGGGCGCCAGGAGGGTCCAGCTGGACGAAGATCTGCGGTCGGTGCTGCTGGAGGCTCCCGGGCGCTGCGTGCCCTATGCGGTCATAGAAGGTACGGGCAGGGCCCGAAGCGAGGCCCCAAATAAGGGGTGGGGGCAATATCCTCTCATCCCTTTGCGGATTTCATCTCCAACCCCTCGTTCTATGCCCATCAGTTCATTTTTCCCCCGACAAACAGCCACTGACACCTGTCAGGCAAAACACAGATGGCCCTCTGCCCTCCTAACAATCATGGAATAGTTTGGGCTGGAAGGAACCTTAAAGCTCATCCAGTTCCACCCCCCTGCCATGGGCAGAGACACCTTCCACTAGCCCAGGTTGCTCCAACCTGGCCTTGGACACTCCCAGGGATGGGGCAGCCACAGCTTCTCTGGGCAGCCTGTACCAGGGCCTGCCCACCCTCACAGGGAAGGATTCCTTCCCACTATCCTATCTAACCCTGCCCTCTGGCAGTGGGAAGCCGTTCCCTGTGTCTTGTTTCTCCAGGCCCTTCTCCAAAGTCCCTCTTTTTTTGTTTGTTTTAACAATCTTCTCACCTGCCCCTGGGATTTCCCTTCCAGGTGTGGTGAGGTCGGTGAAGGAGACCCTGAGCAGCCAGTTCGTGGAGAACTGCAAGGGGGTGGTTCAGAGGCTGACACTGCAGGAGCACAAGATGGTCTGGAACAGAACCACCCACCTCTGGTACGTGTCTGGTGCCCACAAAACATTCTCCTCCCAGCCCACCCTCTGGGGGTCTGACACCCTGAAATGGCCTCAGGTGTGGCCAGAGTGACCAGGTGCCCTCAGAGCTGGACCCCACAGTGGCCCCCAGAGTGACAGCTGCCAAAACAAGGCACGTTTGGCTAATTTTTAGGGCTTTTAGAGCTCATGGGAGAGTCTTAGGAGAAGAGCATATTGAGTAACCCAACGTGGGCAGAGCGTCGATCAGTCCCATCTTGTTATGGAGGATGGTATTTCCCAAAAAAAACCCCCACTTTCAGAACAGGAATCAGTTGGTTTTAGGTGAACCTGCACCCAGGGGACCTGAGGAGGGTCCAGAGCAGCCTGGCCCACCAGAGCTGCTGAAGCAAGAGCTCGGTGACGCTCTTTGATGAGCCACTCGATAACACCTGTCAAACTGGGGCGTGTGACAGGTGGTGCCTCCCCCTCCCAGGGCAGTTTGTGACAGCTGGGAATGCCACAGGGAGGGGATTAGGTGGGACACAGCCCTCCCCCAGTGGTGGTGGGAGCCCACACTACCTGTGGGAGCTCTGTGAGGGCAGACAGGCCTTGTGCACACCTGGGCAGTGCCACGAGAGGGGAAAGGTGCCCCAATCAGATAAACTCAGTGCCCCAAAAAAAACCCAGTCATCCCTTGGGTGAGGGGAAGCAGGTTCACTTTCCCCCCCCTTTCTTCCCCAAGGAACGACTACGAGAAGATCATCCACCAGAGAACCAACACCACGCCCTTCGAGCTGGTGCCCGCCGAGGGTGGCGCCGGCGTGGCCGTGCGGGTGGTGAAGCCCCTGGAGGCGGCCGAGCTCAGCCTGGAGACGGTGTATGAGAAATTCCACCCCTCTGTGCAGTCCTTCACCGACGTCATCGGCCACTACATCAGCGGGGAGCGCCCCAAGGGCATCCAGGAGACGGAGCAGATGCTGAAGGTGGGCACAGCGCTGACCGGCGTGGGAGAGCTGGTGCTGGACAACGCCACCATCAAGCTGCAGCCCCCCAAGCAGGGCATGCCCTACTACCTGAGCGCCGTGGATTTCGAGTCCCTGCTGCAGAAACAGGAGTCCAGCGCCCGCTTCTGGAAGGTCCTGACCGTGGTTTTTGGCGTCGCCACCTGCGCCGTCCTCTTCTTCCTCCTGCGCAAGCAGTACCGGCACCACCGGGAGAGGCGGCAGCTCAGGCAGATGCAGGAGGAATTCCGGCAGGCCCAGGAGCGCCTGATGAACGCCGAGGGCGGGGACACCCTCAAAAACGCCTGCGTGGTCTGCCTGAGCAGCACCAAATCCTGCGTCTTCCTGGAGTGCGGCCACGTCTGCTCCTGCCACGAGTGCTACCAGGCTCTCCCCGAGCCCAAGAAGTGCCCCATCTGCAGGCAGGGCATTGCCAGGGTGGTGCCTTTGTACAACAGTTAATCCGTTTGTGGTTCTTGGGAGGGAGGGGGGGGAAGTTTCTCGGCACTCAGAGCTGTCTCTCTCGCAAAGGGGTTCTTGTCGCCTCGCTGCTTTGGGCGGTGGATTTCGGGGAAGGGGAGGGAGCTTGAGGGAGCGGGTGCTTTGACAGAGCTGGGTCTGAAAAGGTGCTTGTGCAGCTGATCACACGTGCATCATGTTGCGCTCTGGAGGCTTTTCGGGAGAGGTGGCTCCTTGCAAAGGGTGAGGTGCTCAGGGGGAGACGCAGCTTGAAGCTCTTCTGTTAAAAGATTTGGACTCTCAGGGTTTGTGTCGTGGTTGCTGAGCCTGTGGTCTCTTGCCTGGCTGATAAAAACGTGGGGAAAACAAAAATAAGATGGTTTAAGGGTTCTCAGAGGCTGCAGAATCCCTGTGGTGCTGCCACACGGCTCCAGTGGAGCAGGGGGGGGGCTGTTGGAGAACTCATGTGGGGGGTGTGTGAATTCTGTGATCCCCCTCCAAAAAAAGGGTTTGTGACACCAGGACATGAGGATGGAGAGGTGAGAACACCGTGGCTGATGGCTGTGCTTGGCTTGAGCTGGGATAGAAAACAGGATGAAAAGCAATAAAATAGGATGGAAAGTGTGTTTGTGTCAGATCATTCCCCGGGGGTGACGGGAGTTGTGCCATGATGGAGGTTGGGTGAGGGGGTGGGAGCCTGTCCCCCCACACTGGACGTGGCAGTCACTGCTGCCTCCTCGTGTCACAGGCAGTACCAAGCCCCCAAACTAACACAGAAAAGGAAAATTCCCTTCCCTTACACCCACGTTTTTCCATAAATGCTGTACGGTCCCTGCACCCAAGAGGGTTAATGCACCCAAAGCAATTAACATTTGCTGAGGAGGGCAATTAGAGAAACACTCCTGGGTGTGGGGGAGCCTCCAGTAGGAACAGTCACAAACCCCAGGACTGAAGCAGCCCCTGGGATTTGGGGGGAAACCCCCTCAGCTCCATCTGATGCCTGAGGGCAGGCAAAGCTGTTCACATCCCCCTAGGACGCTTAAAAAGAAATAGTTTCCCATCAAGTGGCAGGGAAAGCCTAATTTAACACAGAATCAGGTTGTTTCCTTGTTAAACATTAACCAGACCAGCCGGGCAGTGTCCGAAGGCCGTTCTGCCTCTGTGGCACAACCTGCTGCCTGGAGTTTGAGGAAAAGTGGGTCCCTGGTTGTCCCAGTGCCGGGAAGGGCCACAACCCACCGGCTGTAGATGGCAGTGGCTGCCCGCCACGGTGAGGCAGCCTGTGAAACACAGAGTCCCAGAGGGAAAAGCCAAGATCCAGCTCAAAAATCCACACACGAGCCCAGAATACAGAACCCCTCTTGCTGGAATAGGCGTCCCCTCCTCTCCAGGGGACTGACCACCCCAAAACCCCTCACAGGGGGCAGCAGGGAGGTCTCACACCCCCCCCTCAGTCACAGCCTTGAGCCTCAACGTTTTGCCTGTGAAACGGAGCCATCAGGCAAAGCCTAAAAATACGCTTTGGGGGGGCTGTGCTTCCCCGTTACCTTTCGCCTCCTGTTTCCAAGCTTTCCCTGTGATATCTCGGGCGTAGCCGCAACCTTATGTAAGGAGCTGACAGCTCGGGGGCGGGCGGGGGTGCACGGCAGAGGGGCTCCAGGAGCTCAGGATTTCAGCAAATGAGGGGTTTGGAGATTGGGAGCAGCACCCCAGTCCTGGCACCGCTAGGCACCCCATCCTTCCCATGCCCTGCTCCTGCTCAGCCCCGAAACGAGCCAGGCTCCCAGTTCCAGAGAAATCCTGTAACCCAGCCTTGAACAGTTTTTTTTTGCTGCTGTTCCCACTGTCCCCCAACTTGGCTTTGCAGAGATGCCGAAAACCCCTCACACAGCCATGGTCTTTCCCAAAATGGGAGCCCCAACCTTCCCGTTACTCACTTTGCTAGGCAGTAACCTCGATGACCCACACTGCTGCGGCAACACTGCATGAAAAACCCCTTGGAAAGCCCACAGAGACCCAAAAGGCCCTTAGGAAATGCTTGTGCAGGGACACATCCTTGGGACCCACAGCCAAGTGCACCCAGACTCTCCCCGTGCTGCAGCACCACACAAAGTGCCAGAGGCCCTGAGATGGCTCATTTCTACTGGGCTCTGCAGGACATTCGTGGGGCTGAGCCCAGAATCCCTGAGGACACGTGCTGGGCTGCCTGGGGATGCTGTGGTTACCTGGGATTTAAACCTGTCACCTGGGTTACCAGGGATGCCAAGGGGCAGCTCCGGGCCTCCTCAGTCAGCTGAGGGACAGTTCTGAGGTCCCCGGGCACGTTGTGGGGCACCTCTGGGCTCCCCAAAAGTGCTGTTGGGACAGCCCAGGCTCTCCGGGTGGTTTTTGTAGGGCAGCTCCGAGCTCCCCAGGGGTGTCTATTAGGCAGCTCTGAGTTTTCCAAGGATGCTGCGGGACACCCCGGGGGATGCTCCGGGGCAGCTCCGGCCTCCTTGAGAGAGGGGAGTGCCTTTTAGGCAGCTCTGGGGTCTCCCGGGATGCTGCGGGACACCCCGGGGAGGCTGCGGGGCAGGCGGCGGGGCAGCCCCGGGGATCCCCCGAGGGGGGGGGGAGGGGGAGGTGCGGGCTCCATCCCGCCGAGGCGGTGCCGCCGCCGTCGCTGTTGCCGGGGGGGCCGAGCCGGTCCCGCCCCCGCCCCGCCCGGTCCCGCCTCCCGCTCCTCTATCGCCGCCGCCGCCGGAGCCGCCGCCGCAGCCGCGGAGCCGCGAAGCAGCGCCGGCCGGGCCGGGATGTGACGGGGCGGCCGCCCCGCGCCCGCTGCGCCGCTGCCCCGGGCCCGCGGGCCCCGCGCCCCGGGAGGCTGTCGGGGGGCGGCGGCGGCGGCGGGTCCCCCCCCGCCGCCCCCATGTCGGAGGGGCCGCCCTACGGCGAGGGGCAGCTGGCGGGGGACGCGGCCGTGGGGCAGCTGCCCTTCCCCGTTCGCCTCCGCGGCGGCGACGGGCTCTTGGCCGGCGGGCAGGGCAAGCGGCCGCCCAAGCTGGGGCAGATCGGCCGCAGCAAGAGAGGTGGGTGACCGGAGGGGAGCGCGGATCTATCCAGGATGCGGGGCACGGCCACCAGGGATGGGGCGGGATGCAGCGGGTACCCCGGCGGGGTGTTGGGCGGCGCGTCCCGAGGACATTTCCCTAAGGATGCAGGACACCCAGGGACAGGGTGTGATGCGCTGGGAGCCCTGAGGGATGTCGGACATCGTGTCCCAGGGACCTTCCCCAGGGATGCAGGGCAGCGGGGATCAGCCCCAGCGGTGGGGCATGATGCACTGGGCTCTCTCTGAGGGATGTCGGGCATCGTGTACCAGGCATATTCCCTGGGGATGGGGCATCGGGAATCTTAGCGGGATGCAGGGAACATCCCCTGGGGACAGGACATGGTGCACTGGATACCCTGTGGGATGTCAGGCATCGTGTCCTAGGGACCTTCCCCAGGGATGCAGGGCAGCAGGGGCTTGCCCCAGGGATGGGGTATGATGCACTGGGCTCCCTGAGGGATGCTGGGCATCGTATCCCCCAGATCTTCCCCAGAGATGGGGCATTAAGCACCTTTCTGGGATGCAGGGCAGTAGGAAGCACCCCCTGGGGCAGGGCATGAAGCGCCAGGCTCCCTGCGGGACTGTCAGGCATCACGTCCCAAGGACTGTCACCAGGGCGTTGGGTAGCGGGGACATTCCTTGGGGACAGGACATTGTGCCCTGGGCACTTCACCGGGGTGCGGGGCAGCAGGGACCTTCCCCAGGGACATGGCACCATTCCCTGGGGACCATTCCCAGGCCACAGAGGTGAGGGGGGACCTTCCCTGGGGACAAGGCACCACGCTCCAAGCCCTTCAGCAGGGCTTCCTGAGGGGCAGGTCTCCAGGTCCCGTGTCAGGTACCCTCCCTGGGGTGTCAGGCACCGTGTGGCTTTGCCACCAGCCCCACTAGGGATGCGGGACCCCCCAGAAACCTACCCCACGGTGACCTTGGGCGAGGGGAACCACGGCGGCAGAACCTTCCTCACGCTCCTCTTTCTGCTTTCTAGTGGTGATTGAAGACGATAGAATTGACGATGTGCTGCAAAACCTCTCCGAAAAGGCCCCTCCCGGCGTTTAAAGCCTCCCTGGGGACGCTGGGCTGAAGCCCGGGGCGAGGGGGGGGGGATCGAGGGGGCCGGTTTACAATGGCAAAAAATACTCCTACCCCCCCCCCCAGCACCGCAGCGACCACCCGAGCGAGCACCGGGAGCGCCGTCCTCGCCCTCCTGCAGTCCCACAGCATCACCACGGCACGTCCTGCCCTCCGGAGGCGCCTGGAGGGGAGGGCAGAGAGCGAGGCAGACCCCAGAAATGAATGAAAAAATAATAAATTAAGAAAAATATATATATATATGAAATTGGGAAAATAACCACCTGCTCCAACCGGCCCCCCACCCCACCCCGAGGGATGAACGGAGGTGTCACACCACGGTCTGAATTACTCGGGATTGCTTTTCTCGGGCTGATGAACCTTGTGCCGTGCGAAATTTGGAGGGGGGGGGGGGGATAAGAGGAAAAGGGGCAGCAAAAAACGGGGCGGGGAGGGAGCAGCCCCCGAGGTCTCCCCCCCTGGCCAGGGCTGTTCCCAGCGGGCACCTTGTTTACATTATTTAATCTTGCAAAAATGAATCCGTGCACTTGGATGTACCACGCTATCCCCTTCCGTATGATTTCTTTTTTCTTTTTTTTTTTGGGTTGTTTTTTTTTTTTTTTATGTTGATGTCTTTGGATGTTGGGAAATTATATAAAATAGATATATATATATATATTTAATTTTAGTCACGTTTTAAGGTTCTCGAGGGGGGAAAACCAAAACTTTTATAAAGGAAAGGCCTGGAGGAAGAATTGCTGGTTTATTTTTTAAAGCTTGTACTTCTTGGTTGCTGTGAGCAGAGGGACAGATTTTATATGTACAGGGGGGTGGGGGGGACGCTCGGCTTTTCTAACTACATGCAGTCTGTAGTGTGGGTGATCTTGGTTTCTTTTTTTTTTTTTCTTATATTGTGGCAGTTTCCTCTCTTTAATAGACTCTATTAAAAATATATATATATATAAAAAAATATTTAATGTAATCACAAGAGTGCCAAACACTTGGAGATGCTGGAGGGCAGCGGTTCCCTCCCCGAGACGAGCAGCACTCGGGGCTTTCTGCTCTTTCTAGGGCTCGGTCGATCTCTCGTGGGGTTTTCTCTGACTTCTCTTTTCTAATCTTTCTTTTTAACTATTTTGCATGATGTGCATAAAAAAAAAAAAGAAAAAAAAAAAGAAAAAAAGGGGAAAAAAAAAAAAGCGCCTCTGGCGCCTGAGCTTGGTTCTTGTTTCTGTTTGCGATTGACTGACAGACCTCAAGGCAGGTTTTTCTTTCCTCCTTTTCTTAAATATTGTGTATGTTGCACTTTTATCCACTACACAGGGCTATTTCTGCAATGTCCAAATAAAAAGGAAAATGAAACAAAATGGAAAAAAAAAATAATAATAATTTATAAGTGCGGATCTGCCGTGTCGTCCCGCGTGCCGCCAGGGCCCAGTGAGTGTCCCTCCCTGTGCTCCCAAATAATCCCCAAAAAACTTAAGGAAAACCTTGCCACTCTCCAGCACAGCCCCCTGTTCATGCTGAACAATTAATTTTGACTAATATTTATTATGGGATTTTTTTTTTATTTGATGGGAAAACTCTCCAGGGGGGCAAACTGAACGGGAAAATTCAACGTGAGGTCCTGGAAGCAGCTGTTGGGGATGGTGGGAAAAAAGGTGCCTTTCCCCTTCACCGCTGGGAAAACCTGTGGAAAATGGGGATTTTTCATCCCAACGTTGCCTCACTCCCTCCCAAAACCCAAATCCTGGTGTTAAAAAATGCTGTTACCCCTCCTGCCAGAGCACCAAAGGCGGGAGCCAAGCTTTGTGCCGGGGGAATAAAATACAGTGAGGGGTGGGAAACAGGTCTGGGGAGGGGATTTTACTGCAAAAAAAACCCCATATATTGCAATAAAAGCAGGAGGCTGCTGAACTGGGATTTGTACAGGATGACCGGGGGTGCAGATGGATTAATTTTGGGTGGTACAGAGAGCCAGTACCCCATTTTTGGGGTGTCAAGGCTGCACAGAACTCCCCTCCCCAACGCCTATCCTATTTATTGCTCCATTTTTAACCCACACAGTCTCTCCCACAGCCAGGATGGGACAAGGAGCTTTGCTAAATTGCTCCCTTGAAAAATCCCCAGTTATTTTCATTTTTCCCTAGCAGGTCCAGCTCCGAGGTCAGGGCCACATGGCTTGCATTCTCATGAACACAGTTTTGGCCCCAGGATTTTCTATTCTGGGGGATCCTTTGCACCTGAAAAGCACAAGATGGGCCTCTGAGAGGGACTTTTTTCACCCCAAAACTAATGTTTTTTGCCCCAACCAGCATCTGGGGGTGAACTCAGAGCTCTGGGGAGAGCAAACCCAGGCTCAGAGGAGCAGAACATCCCAGATCTGCCAAGGAGACAGCGCTGGGGAGCTCTTTAGACACATAACCAAGGGCTGGACGCAGCACTTAATTAACCAAGCTTACCAAAAAGGCCCCTTCTTTTTTACCATGAAAACCCAATCTATGGGTCAGCCAGACCCATTTTCCCACTTTCTCCCACGCATCACAAAAAACCTCCAGGCACCCAAACCGCCCTGAAACCCAAACGAACCCACGGGTGCTCCAGGGATGGGGTCCCTGCACAGCCCGGGAGCCCCCAAAAACCCGGGAGAAGCCGGGAATGAACCGGAGAAGCCGGAGGGGGAAGGGAGGCTGAAAGGAGAGGAGATTCTGCTAAATTATAAACCGCCCTTTTTTTATGCATCTTTCATGCACGGCACATAAATAATGGAGCAGGAGAGCCCGGCGTGCCGAGCTCGCTTACGGGAGGATGCGGGATGTGGAGGGGCGAGGACAGAGGGATGCAGGATGGATGGTGGGGAAAGACGTGCCCAAGAGCCCCGGCCGGGCACCCCGCAGCCATGCGTGGCCGGGAGATGATATTCTGAAGGAGGATTTAAGGATTAAACTGGCCGCGGGGCAGGAGTTTATTGCATACATTATTTAACAGATGGCCCAACGCAGGCGGCCGGCTGCCTACGGTCTCCCCGGTGACCTTGGCTGGGAGATGCCGGGGCTGGGAAGGGAGCCTGGTGCCGTCACCCTGCTCAGGTTACAGGGATCAGAGGGAAGGAAAAAAAAAAAAAAAAAAAAGGTACAAAACCCGGGAGTCAGCACCCAGCAGCTCCAGCGCCAAATCCCCATGGAAACCGCAAAAAGCCCCACCCAACCCTGGCCCATATGGGCTGCTCGTTTTGGCAGGGGTGGGGAAAAAAAAATGAGGAAAAAAAACCAAAATATATGGAAAAAGCCATTTGCGGGTTTGTTTGCCGGAGGGAACTTGGCACCTTTGGAAGAGCAGGGTGCCGGAGGGACAAGCGAGGCGCCAAGGTCCCAGCGGCACCCGGAGCACTTGCAAAATCCCTCTCCCGTGCCCAAACACATGCTTTAATCCCATTTTCCGGGGGACTTTGGCACTGGGGGAAGGTCCTGAAACAGTTGCTCCCCCAGCAAAACCAACCCTGACCCCTTTATCCCCAGAACCAGGGGGTATTTTTATCCATCTCTAAAGCCACTCAGTTTTCCACGGGCTTTAAGGCATCAGCTCTTGGAAGCCCCCTGGAATGACACCAGTCCCCATTTTGGGGCTGGATCAGTGTCCCCACCACTGATTACCCACATCAGCAGAGCAGTTGGCGAATCCCACAGAAAAATGCCCCAAAATCGAGGGCAGTGGGTTGCAGTCAGGGCAAAGCGGAGCAGGGGACGGGGAGTGGGTGAGTCCCCCAAAGCTCTTCCCAAAAGGACGCCGATGTAGCAACTGCCCAAAATAAATATTCTCTTTTTCTTCCCCTCCTCCATCAAAACTAGGGCATGTTAAACTAGGCCAGCACTCCTAAAGTAATTTATTTATCATGGCGGGGGGGAGCAAGGAGGGACGGCGTGGGCTGCAGAGAGGGGATGCTCCACTCTGCCCCCAAATACTGTGGTTTGGGGGAATAAAACAGGTCAGTTTTTCCCTTTTTTTCTTGCTGAAAGACCACAATTGCTCGGAAGGAGGCAGCTGAAGTGACCTTTGGTGGAGAAGACACAAAAATGATCATTCTAATGGCATCAAACCCTTTTTGATCCATTCGCTCCACTGTTTTCACTGCGTGGGGTTTGTGGTTTTTATTGTGGCATTAAACGGAAAATATGCCTTAGAAAAATAAAAAATGGGTAAAGACATGAAGGAGATTTTGCCCTGCTTAGAAACTATAATTTTTTTCCCCCTTTTTTTTTTGCCACAGGAATGAGAAAAACCCAGTTGGTATCCAAAATCTCTTTGCCCATCCCTGCCTGGGAGGGGGGCTGGACAAGAGGGGTTTGGCCAGCCCCCCTCCTGCTGGGTGCTCCTCCACCAGCTCTGGATTTGGAGCCTTTTTGGGGGGCTTAATTTCCCTGTATCTTTGGATTTCCCCTTGGAAAGAGGGGGTTTTAATGGTGTGGACCTCAAGTGTTGCTGGTTTGGGGGTTTTTGGGGTCTGCAGGTCCCCCATCCCTGGGCTCTTTGTCCCACAGCCACTAGAGGCCACTGGGGCTCTGTGATCCCGCCTGATTTATTCATGCAGGACATCTGGACACACATCAGCACCCAAAAATCTAAAACCAGGGGGAAATTATATACATGAGGTACAGAGGCAGCAAAATTGTGGCAAAACAGGGCGGAGAAGGGCTGTTCACAAGCTCTGTTGGTGTCTCCCCACCCTGAGACCCCACAGGGGACAGGGAAAGTGCTTTTATCTCCCCAAATCCAGTCAAACCTTTCAGCTGCCCAGGCCTGTGCTGAGCACTAGCAGGATTCCTGGAAGCCCTCCTCAATCTAAACACTTCCAGAGGACAGGGAGCTGCCCCACGTGCAGCAATCCCTCCTGGCCCAGCATTTAGAAGAGCTGGGCTCACCAGGAATTTTATGGAGGGGTCAAGAAGACACTCCCAGGATGGGGCACTCCCCACCTTGGGAATATCCTGCCAGAAAATCCCTAAATCCCTCCTGCTGCTGCCTGGGGGAGCCTGGAATTTGGAGCCGCCTGTCTCCCCAGGCTCCTGATTTTCATTTTGCCTGGGGTTCAAATTTTCTAGGATATTCTAAACAGCCGTTCCCACTAAAGTGGGAAACATCAGACATCTTCATTTATCCACCGCTCCAGGTGTCAAACTGTTGCACGACAATAACAAGTGGGAGACACCTCACCCAAAAAACGAGCGAAAATTCCACTCGGAGCCAAATGCAGCAGCAGCTGCTCAAATAAAAAACAAACCTGAGGCAGCAGCAGGCTCTGCAGCCCTGCCAAAGCCTTCCCAGATAAATAGTCTGTGGCTGGGGGTGGGGGGGGTGGAGGGAAGGGGGGGATATGATATTTTTTGGGAGGTTGGGATGCCTGTGCAGCCTCACATCTGGGTGTTTGCAGACCCTCAGTGGGCAGGTGAGAACGGCCACTGCCTTCTCGGGGTTGCCCCAGTTCCCAGCCTCACTGGCTTCGGAAGAAGCTTCCCTGCCAGTGATTTTTCCAAGACAATTCCTCCCCTGGGTTCCCGCGGGATGTGCCTGTGAGAGCAATTGCCCTGTTAAATCCCTGCTAGTGAAGCAATGCCAGGAATATGAGGGAAACCAGAGGAACTTGGGCTCCTCTCCGCGCTGCAACATCACAATTATTAATATATCGAATGTATATAATGTATTGCAATATTATATAATGGATAATATTACATAATATATAAAAATAATACATTATGTAATGTATAATATTATCTAATATATATCTAAAATAATACCTCTCTATAAAAACTGTTGGCAGAGACCCTTTACTTTGCAGATATCCCTTTTCCCATGGGAAAGAGGGAGCAGGGTGGGATACCCCCATGGAAAAAAGGGGAGCAAAGGAACGTCCAGGAGCAACCCCCCTGGGGTCCCTGGAGCACAGCTTGAAGCATCAGCCCCTTCCCGGGGTGGGAGAATAAAAGAAAAGAAAGGAAAACAACCAAACCACAAAAATACCCCCCCCAACCAGGGCCATGTGATCCAACACTCCGAAATACCCGGTGGTGAGTCACAGGTGCAGGGATGGGGCTGATCCAGCTCTGACTCAGCCCGGGCAGCCGGTGCAGGCTGTTGTGTCCCCCCCTTCCCCAGCTCCCTGTTTCCCATTTTTGCTCCAAACCTGCACAAATATAAATAAACACTCCGTGACTCAGAGGCACGTGGAGGGGCTCAGCCCCTTCCAGCCACCCGAATTCCTGACGGTGCCACAGCGACAGGGCTGGGCACACCTGAATCCCACGAAAACCAGGCCTGGGAGCCTTTGAAGTATTTAAAATGTTATTTAAAATACGTATTTTTGGAGGGGGAA